AGCTCTAAATGTTTATAAGTATTTTGTCGAAGAAAATTTGAAAAAAATCTAATTGTTGCTAAAATGGATAAAATCGAAAATTTTTAAATGAGGATTGATAGTTGTCTCCAAAGGTTATGTATAAAAATTGGAAGTTCAAAATAATCATTGGTTTTACAGTGAAAGAGAATTGAAAATAAGTATAATTCTATATTTTCTTAATTAACAATTCAGTTGTGCGAAATCTAGCCGTCCGATTTCGATGAAAAAGTTTCTGCGATACTACCATATCATGAAGTACTCAGAACCATATTTTTTATGCGGCTGCTCTAAATTCAAGGTCTGAAATAAATTCATGAAAAGACGATCTTTTTTAAGGATTTTTTTTCGGTCAATACTGTTTTGTAGTAACAATGATGCACATAAAAATTCAGGACTACTTTTATTTTGAAGAAAATCTCAAAACGAAACTTTTTTTCCTTTGATTATTTTCTCTAATATCAATATTCTCCGAGTTATACAAGAAAAAAAAAGAGAAAAATACGCCTTTTTAATGTTTTTTCACATTTTCTTGCGCTAACAATTATGCACAACTTTTTCAGCAGGCGCATATCGCAATTATCATTCTACTATCTACAATCTATCATTCAAAAATTAGCGTTACTATATGAAACATCCATACAACCTACTTTTAAAACTGATATCGACTGGACTATAGTGCTAATAGTCAAACACGAATGAAAATGTAGGAAGTTATTTCAGGCTTTAAATTTAGAGATTTGTTTCCTATTTTTCCTATTACAAAATATGCAAACTTGCATTAAAAATGGTTAAATGTATAAAGAGGGCAAGTTTAAACAATATTTTGAAATTGCTTTATTGATATTAATTTGAAAAAAAAACATATTTATATTGTTATGACAAAGATAATTGGGTAAAAAAACCTTTATTCTTTTACAGCCTTTGCGATGATGAAATAAACAACAAAACTTTCCCGGATGACTTTCTCTTCGGAACCGCTACTGCTTCTTATCAAGTTGAAGGTAAGTTGTTCATATGTAATGAAACAATAATCACATTATTATGATGGAGGGTTTTAATCAAATTTCTAGTGGAAACCTTATTTATATCCTAATGTTCCTTCTTATGGAGATATCGGGTTTTTAAGCGTACCTAGAGTTTTACATTTTCGGTTGTATCTCTGAAACCACCCATTCAATATCAAGGCCTTCTACACTATTTTTATTCTATGAATATTTTCTCAATGCACATAAAATAAGATTTCTCAGGAATTTTATCTCTAATCTAATTACAGTACTGTGTTGTTCTCTGCAAAAGTTCTCTTCTAATATTTACAAGTGATGATGAAACGGGCAAGCTTCGATCTATCTATCTATCACTAATCATTATTATTGACGCACTAAGCGCTTAAAATGAAGTACACTTGAAAAAGCACATGTTGAACATGTGCCTAGTAAATGTTTATTTTAAAACGTTGCTTTTCTTAAGATATTTATTGTGTCTTTGGACTTGTTAAGTTAAATAAACCAAATGCATGAAAAAATTTGTAAACATTACAAATTGTTGCTACTCTTGTACTAAATAATCTACTATTGTTTCTAAAGTTGATTGACTTCTAAAACAGTTCATTTTTTCGAAATAAAAAAATGCTGTATTTTTAAATAATATTTGCAGTTCGATGTGTACATCTGTCAAAATTTTGAAAAAATATGTGTTACGCTGGTCCATTTCTGGATAACTTGTAGTACCTACTAAAATATGAGTTTTAATGTGAAATCACGGTCAATTATCTGCAATATACTACCCCAAAATCGAATACAAGTTGGGTAGTTTTAAAGTTAAATTGCAAAAAGGTAAATATCTTGATTCGCCGTTGAGCCGTATATACAGGGTGATTCATTAACAATGGGAAAATCGAAAGCTGAAGATACTACACGTGAAATGGTGATCATTGGCGTAAACATGCCTTATCCGAAAGTTGTTTCTGAACTACAGGGTGTTGAAAGTTAAAATTAATTTTTTTTTTGAGATTATTCTGAAAATATGTAGGAACTTGAAAATTTGTGAAACTATATTTTTTAAGCGACGAATAAGACGCGTGTTGTAATTTCAGCGTTGCTTATAGAGGGCGCCACTTAAGACCAATTTTACCGAAAATTTAGTTAATAACTTTTTACCCTGTATGTCTAACATGAAACTTGATTCAAAACCTGAAAGAGCAATCGTTTTTCCATTAATTATGTATTCTTGTTTCATTTCGGTATCTCGATTCGTTTTCGAGAAAAATCGATTTAACGAACACTATGTTTTGACAATACGAGAAATTAAAAGCGAAACAAACCAAGTGTTTCTTCATGTTATTACAACAATTAACAATAAAACAAATAAAATACGTAATTATGATTTAAAGTAATTGCTCGAAGAATCCACCGTTGACACTGATACACTTTACACGCTTTCTGGGAGATCTTCGAGTTTGAAACAACATATTGGGATTGCGTCTGATTTCGTTGACAGCGATTTGTATTATTTGCCACAACTCTTCACGCGAGCCAATAGATTCTTTGTAAACTACATCTTTCATTCGAGACAAAAAAGAAAAATCAAGAGGATTGAAGTCCGGACTTCTGGGTGGCCATGCAAAAATGCTTACATGGCCAATCCAGCGATTTGGAAAAACTGCATCTAAATATGATCGCACTGGCCGAGAAAAATGCGGTGGAGCTCCGTTGTTCGTGAACCACATGTCTCTTCTTACATAAAGTGGAACTTCTTTAAGCCGTGGAAGCATTTTTACTTGGCCACCCAGAAGTCCGGACTTCAATCCTCTTGATTTTTCTATTTTGTCTCGAATGAAAGATATAGTTTACAAATAATCTATTGGTTCGCGTGAAGAGTTGTGACAAAGAATACAAATCGCTGCCAACGAAGTCAAACGCAATCCCAATATGTTGTTTCAAACTCGAAGATCTCTCTGAAAACGTTGTGTAAAGTGTCAACGGTGGATTCTTCGAAGAATTATTTTAAATCATTATTACAAAGTTCATTTGTTTTATTGTTAATTGTTGTAATAACATGAACACAGTGTTCTCGTTCTCGAAAACGGATCGAGATACCGAAATGAAACAAGAATACATAATTAATGGAAAAATTATTGCTCTTTCAGGTTTTGAATCAAGTTTCATGTTAGACATACAGGATAAAAAGTTATTAACTAAATTTTCGGTAAAAGTGGTCGTAAGTGGCGCCCTCTATGAACAACGCTGAAATTACAACACGCATCTTACTCGTCGCTTAAAAAAATATAGTTTCACAAATTTTCAACTTCCTAACCTACATATTTTTAGAATAATAGCAAAAAAACGATTTAAAATTTTAACTTTCAACACCCTGTATATCCGAAACTATCAACTTTCGGATAAGGCATATTTGCGCCAATGATCACCATTTCACGTGTAATATCTTCAGCTTCCGAATATCCCATTGTTAATGAATCACCCTGTATATCTCCGTTAGGAGGACCATAAGAAAAGATTATAGGAAATATCAGCTTTACTTTGACCTTCTTTATACGCTCCTGCGAGATCCTTATTATCCTTGCGCATAATATAAATAGGGATAACAGTAATTGCATTCCCAAGTTTCACTGGTTGTTTAAGTATGGTCGTGTTTTTTATTAATAATTTTGATGAGGTGAATTTTGTAGAGGCAACCACAGATTAGAATTTTTTAAACAGACCGTGCATTCGTGGAATGAACCAACATCAAAATAATGAACACAATATTGCCATAAATAAAATAATAATAATAATAATAATAATATGCCTTTATTTTCATATAAAACAAATTATTAAAAAATAATCATATAAATGGCAGCGAGATCTAGCAGAACTACTCATTCTAACCGCCCGCTTTAAACAAAAAATACATAAACATACAGAGTGATTCACAACTTATCCAAAAAAAAAAATGGAAATAGATGTAGCATAAGAAATGGAGTCAATATCGTAACAAAAATTTTTGTAAAATCTTTATAGTTTCCGAGAAAAAAATTGTTGAAGTTATTGTACATTTAACCACTACATTTGTCATTCGCAATACGCGTTAAGAGCCACGTGGCCTCAGCGACTCCGAATACTGAAATCCGATTGTGCAATCGTCGTTGCGATAGTGTTTACCTGTTAACTGTGGTGTTTACAATAGTTTTTTAGTAGTTATTGTCAAAAATGGTTTGCGTGTATAGCAACTCGATGTTGATGGATATCGTTTTAATTTATGGTAAAGCATTTGTGTTATGGTGAAACAAGACAACATTTGTGTTAGTTCGTAGAAACTGAGTACAACGGACCCAAATGTGTTTACACATTGGTGGATAAAATTTTGAACAATTGTTGTAACATCGGGTATGTCAAATGATTTTATTATTTAAAAACACAAATTAATTTTATTAATTAATAAAGGCAAAAGCAGTTGAATTTGCCGATATAAAATAGGTGCGATAAAATTCTATTTACATATTTCTTTCCTTGCGAAAGTTTTTGTCCGTTTTTATCACACCGCCATGCCGGTCGCATTGTGCGAGGTCAGGTTTTACAGTGGACCAGTTTCCAGTGCCGTGCAGAAGTGTATTTTTAAATCATTTTCGAACTGCCCTTTTTGATTTTTTCTTTACAAAAGTGTATTTGTAAGGGTCCCCTGTACATCCAGAATTCTTTTTTTGGATAAGTTCTGAATCACCCTGTATATTATATTGTAATGTTATTTTATTTAGTCGTGCAATTTATGTTTATGTACCTTTGGATAGCTCAGATTGTCAAATAGGAAAATCTACTTGCCTTCAATTGCTTGAAAGGTAGACACTAGTCTCAGTGAAATTTATATTTTGTTTTTCTTTTGTTTTATAAATTTAAATTTCTTCTTACCACGATAAATTATTCTTAGAATTAAATTTTGATTAATATGAAAATTTATTAATTTTGAAAATAAAAAAAATCTTCATACAAAATAAACTTGAAAGTAATATTTTACTTTTCATCAAAGAATGAAGTCCTGATTTTCAAAAAAAATATATATTAAATTGAATTCATTCTTTGTTTGACACAATTTAGATGAACTTATATTTTCTCTACGTAACCTATGCCAGTACTATTAACTAATTTACTTATTTCTATTTACAATATAAAAAATCTCTCACAATTATTTTCCAATTTTAGACACAGTCCTTCCGTTCAACTTTGATGATCCTGTCTCGTTTTTCTAAAGTTCAACTGCAATTCTCGAAGCTAACTGCTCTGCTCCAAGAATAAATCTTCTACTGTCTGTCTGCTCCTCTATTATATCTGGTATTCGGTTTGTTATCTGGTATTCGGTTTATTATCTTGTATTTGGTCCTCCACAGAAGACTCTACCCTCTGGGAAATGTTGATAATTTACTTAATATTTGTCAATTAATTACCTTTTTCTGTTTCTGTTTATGTTTTATATACACGATTTCTGTATTTAATTATTTAAATTATCTTTTCTTCGTATTTCTCTTAACTTTTGATTAATTATCTCCTTCCTTCAATTTTCTAAAATCAACTAACAAACTTTTTTTTTTCTTCTCGTTTCCAAATAACCGCACTCCTGTTTCCACGTTTTAATTTTTAATTTTTTCATTGCTCACTACTTAATAACTATTTTAAAATAATTTCACATTTATATAAAAAATCAATTTAATTTTATCATTTCAACACACGACTGTTTTCAAATTTTCTTACATTTTATTGTCTTGGAAATTTCTGATTTGACAAGATATTACTGTCAGATAATTCTTTCTTTCATTTTACCCCTTTCACATATGCAATTTATAATACATTATATATAACATTAATTAGTGCCAATTCGATACATAAATTTTCTCAGTTTTTTTTTTAATTTCCAAACCAATATTTATTTTATTAAATATGTTACATTTCCATACATCTCAATATATACACAGAGTAAATAAACACTACTATATTCTAAGGGCAACAATGTGTTT